TTACTCTCATGGGGAGAAAATACCAGGTACTAAAGAGCTCTTTAATCTAGTGGGGAAAGACATAACAAGAGCCAGTGGCTAGAAGCTGAAGCCAGACATACTGCAATTAGAAAATGGACACATTTTTAAAAGTGAGGGTGATTGACCATTGGAACAAAGAATGAGAGGAAGTGGTGGAGTCTCTATCTCTTGATGTCTTCGTATCAAGGTTGGATGTGTTTTTGGAAGATATGCTTTAATCAAACATAAGCTATTGGGAACAACTGGGCTCAGTTCAGAGGGACCAGGGTGAAATTTAACGGTCTGTGATATATAGGAGGTCAGACTAGATGATCTAATGGTCCCTTCTTGCCTTGAGCCCTAATAACTCTGTATATTGTAGATGGAGAGGTAGAGAAGGTTGCCTAAGTGTGTCCATTCTAATCACCCTTCGCCTTTCAGCTCCTTTTAAACTAAGGGAGCCGGGCAGAGTACAGAACCCCCTTCGCTTTATAAAACCAGAGCGAGAACTCTTCCTCCTCTACTTGGCGTGCATAAGCAGGGCCTCCCCACTGCTCTCCCTCCTCCTTGGCTGTCGCAGTGAGAATTCCCATCTGCTTACAATCTGCTTGATTTACTGGTTATAACATTCACCTTTCAGTTTTCTATTTTCCAGGTCACAGCTCTGCCTGCGGGTGAATCTCTGTAGAAAATATGAACAATATCTTTTTGGTCATTGTGAGTTGTCCCCAATCTCTGCTTCTGGTTCCTTTCAGGGATGACTTTGGGAAGATGACCTACACCACCATGTGCATCAAAGAGACTCTTCGTCTTTACCCTCCGATACCTGTCGTAGCACGAGAACTCGGTGCACCTGTAACATTTGCTGATGGACGTACCTTACCAAAAGGTCTGCTTAGTCTATCTCCTCTTTAAATGCTAATTAGGCTGCTGTGTGTCTGTACATCAGTGGCAGTGATGCTCATGTCTCTCACTTGTATATTGCCTCTGCTTCCAAAAGCATTTTATAGACAGAAAATGAAAGGAGGAAGGGGAATTGTTTAGGGAGACACAGGGACTATTATTAGGAGTAATTGTTTGATACTTGATTTAGGCTAAATATCAAGAACATCCACAAATGCAAATTCAACTACCATCTCTGTGTGGACGATTCACAGATCTGCCTCTCCACTCCAGATCCGTCTCCTTCTGTCCAAACAGAAATCTCAGCCTGTCTCTGACATCTCCTTGTGGATGTCTAGCCATCAGCTCAAGCTCAACATAGACAAAACAAAGCTCTTACTCTTCCCTCCAAAACCATCTTTGCTACCTCCTTTCTTGGCCACCCTGTTACCCATCACTGAGGCCTGTAACTTGGGCTTCATCTTTGACTCAGCCTGGATGTGAGAACCTAGAGACAGGGCTATGTCTAAGTCTTGCAGATTGTTTCTGCATAATGGCTCTAAAATCTGGACTTTCCTACCCAGCCACACAGTTAAAACTGTAGCCCATGCTCTCATTATCTCGCATGTCATGACAACATCCTTTTCTCTGGCCATGAACAATGCAATCTTGCCTCACTGATATGCATTCAAAATGCTGCTGCAAAGGTTATTTTCCCAACCTTTGACCAAGATCACTTTGACCTCGTCATCCCTCTTTGCGTCCCTCCACTGGCTCCCTCTCCTCTATTGGATCAAACATAAGCTACTTGTCTTCACTTGGTAGGTCCTTCATGACCCATCGCATTCCTCACCCCTACCTATCATCACTCGTTCAGTATCAAAAGGTCAACCCCCACCTCCAGCCTGCCCATGAAATCAGCCTCCATGGCCCACTTGTTAAGTTTTCCAACAAGCATCCTCATACTTTCTCTCATGCTGCCCCTCATCAAATTTCACAACTAGTTTGCTGATGTGCTGAGACAGCTGCCTGTCATGCTGATGGATGTTACTTCTGTGAACTTCCCCATCAGTCTGTCTGATTCCATCTTTGTCTCTTGTCTTATACTTAGATTGTAAGTTCATTGGGGCACGACCTAGCACAATGGGGTCCTGGGCCATGGTTGGGGCTCTTCAACACTAAAGCTACACAAATAAATACCAAGAGTAAATTCCTAGTGGTGTGGTGTATAAGTTGTTCCACCGTCTTCAAAGGTAAAAGGTGGAGGCCCCAACACTGGACTCATTTAAAAGCAGATAAGACAAAGAGCAGGAGAACAAACCACAAGGAAAAACCTTGCATTGATAAGGACATGGAGCACGTCCACCAGGAGTCTTTAATCTCTCACATCTTTTGGGACACCACCCCCCACCTCAACATTTCCCCTTCTCCTGATGCTTACCTGAAATGACTTTCTTCACCTTCTGTAGAAATTCTTTGACATTTTTGGCCAATTTTTGTTTTATTAGTCAGTAAAGAATGAGGTGGTTCCCTGATGGAACTCTGTTACTCAATAAACACATGGGTGGCAGATGAAAACAGGACTTCAAAAGTAGATTTGTTACTAATCTAGTTTTACAGGATTCCACCACTGTAGATGGAGAGAACACCATAGTCTCGGACATGTTTTTCCTGTCTTATGATGATGTATTTCTCTCATTCTTAACAGGCTCCCTGGTTTCTCTGAATATTTATGGTCTTCACAGAAACCCCACAGTCTGGCATGATCCAGAGGTACTTCTTTTTTTACTTGAGACTGATAAGACATTTTTGGAGATGGTATAGCTATTCTTTGTGCAGACTCACTTGCTGGATCAACGAGAAGTTCCTATGTGCACAGGAAGCAGCAAGCAGGCCCTTTTCTTGAGTAGATGGCCATTTTTCACTAGACGTATGTAG